CCCGGCCCCTAAACTTATATTTTTAATGGACACTTATGTAATATTTGAGACAAACAAAATCAGAGATCATATGTGTGTTGGTGACAAAAATAAAGCTGTTTTGATGATAAAAAAATAAATAAAGCAAGTGTTCAAAGTTGCCATGATCATTTTCCCAAAAGCGCTTGCCACCAACATTGCAATCTATGTGGCTGATGTCTACCTCCATCAGAGCACTCACACCACATGGTCTGTTTTACTGCTGGATTCCTGTCTGTGAATAAAACCATGTGATGTTGTCTCATTTACTTTCTCCTCCCCATCTATCTCCATATTGTTTTGATTTCTGGGTCCCCAAGTTTTGAGGGAGTTGTACCCTGGACAGGTGTCTATTTCCAATTTTTCCAGTGTATTGACCACCATCATGGAAGAGTTCATATTAAAATCTCTTCCATTCTCCTGTGGATCAATATTCAGAAGTTTAAATGTGAACAAAATAGTTGCACACGTATTCACATGCTACAACGAATGTCTTCTAAAGCACTATTCCACACAAATGGTCATTGTGGAGTCCTTGTCTATGTGCACCTATCTCCCCATTACTATTGCAAATCACATGATTCCAATGATGGCCTATGCCATCATTGATCTTTGTACCCATATATACATATTTGCTACATTATAGGTGAGTTTTCTCTTTTTCTGTCTCTCTGTATGTGAAATTTTCCTTTCTTTCTAACATATATTTGTCATTTTCTTTCCATGTAGAGAAACTCACTGTTGAAAGATAGTGTTCTTAAATTTGAGCTTTTATTAATTTTATTAGTGTTCTCAAGCATTTTATAAATCAGTTATTATATCCGTTGTTTATATTTTCTGTTGTGGTAACTTTATGACACCATGACAAAAATGTAGACTTCTTATTCTTTCATTTTAAAAATCTTTATAATACAGAAGTAAGTAGTCAACCTCTGTTGCACACTAAATAGCTAGATTTCATAGACGCTGTCAGCAGTAAGTAGAGTAACATACTTGGTGATTGACAACATGAGAAGGATAGATGGCAGGTGGAGATACAACATTTACACGTCATGGAGTCCATTAAAACTTCCACCAGATACCAGCCACAGTGACCTGAGAGGGAGCCCAGGATGGCGAATGAGAGAAGCAGGTGCCTCAGAGAAGACTTCTGGGTTATTGGCAATGCTGTCCAGTCATTTCCTGAATCACCTAGAGCCATATGCCCTGTAACCATCCAGCTTTGGGTCATGGTACTGAGGTTTGGGAATTGTGGCTAATGGCCTTGAAGTTAAGTATCAACCTCAATGTCTATCCAGACTTTCAGCATTGTTGTCTCTGCTCATTTCCTCCAGGACAAGACAGAACAGGATTGATCCAACAGATTATGGGTCATAAAGCACTGAGGACAGCTAGAGAGTGGATATCTGATGACAGTTCTGTGGGTGAGCAGGGAGAGTATGTGGTGAGAAAGGGCCAGAAAGTACCTGAAGACATTTCAGAAATTCGCTCATGGTGATAACTAAAAGCAAAATGAAGAGTTTCTTTCCCAAATCCATTCTCATGTGTCCTGTACCATTGGTAAATGCTGCTTGAGGAATGCTCACTAGAACATTTGTGCGTACAGAAATGAGGGGGAGTGGGTTGATTATTGAAGATGAGTTAGTGCTGATGAAGAACAGTGAAAAGTACATCTTTCTCCAAATCTCTTAGTTTCACTCATCAGTCGGGCATGTCTCAAACAATCCCTTTGATGCAATGAGGTACATGTCTACACAGTTGTCAGAGGATCACACAAGCTCCAGTAATGTGCTGTGTGTCACAGAACTGTGGGATAAAGGCCACAATTGGCCTGAGAAGGAATCATTTTGTACCTCACTCTAATGACCATCAGCCCTTTTGAACCAGGGGAAAGGCACAGGTGCCAAAATGTAGGAAGCCTGTACTGTACATCATCCTGATTCCCCATGCGAGACTTTATCTCCTGGGGTCCTTATGTTCTGTGAACTATTGCTTGGGACTTAGCATGATTTGGAATGAAGCAGTTGTTTCTCTTCCAGGTGGTCTTGGACAGTATACTTCCAGGAGGTAAAAAAGAAAGGAAAAAGTATTTTATATTATAGTGATATGAGTCAGACAGAAGTTTACTGTCCAGAGGGAGCAAGGAACAAAGAACAGAGCCTAAGGAAACTGGTTCCTTGTTACTCCAGAAAGCATAGACAAGGTAGTAGCAGATCCCTGGAGGCAGAGCTCTGTCTGTTCTTTGTTCCTTTACCTGGGAAGATACCAACCAATGACAGGTAAACTAGCTGGTGTATGCCTTAAGGCAATGTAGATAGTAGTTTGTTTACACCAAATTACTTATGCATATTCCTTAGCTGTTTGTAGTCCTCAACCAATGTGCAAAGTTTCACTGGCTCCAGACTCGCTAGAGAGAGACTAACCTCAGGGAAACCTCTGAAGCCATATTCTGTAGGTCTTCTCCTTTACTTGGGTACCAACTCATAACCCACAACAGTACATGACCTTCCACTTCTTAATGTGCTGAAATGTATAAGAGATGAACAACATCTACTGAGTTACATGGAATAAGACCAATTATTTCTGAAATCATAGAGCTCATTTTTAATACATTCTTATCTCTGTCCAGTTTCATTTACATTTATCATGTAAATATATCTGTTTCTAGGAAAATAAACATATATAAAACATATTCCTATACCTACACACAAATACAGATATATGTATAATAAATACATATCTGCCAATATATAAGTGTTGCAGGCAGCTGAGTTAGCTAGAAATATTATAGGTAGTCAGGCAGAGCGAGGCCCTAGAAGGAGATATCACAAAAGACAAGGTACCTTACAACTAGGGGAGGAATGGGTGCCGTCTTAGGCCAGATCTAAAGGCAAAGATCAAACAAATGCTCACCTCCCTAAAGATTGGCTTCTGAGATTGATCACCACCCTGAGGGAGACAGAAGAATCATTAATCTGACTACTACTGAATGACTACCTGATAAAGTGCTGTTCTACATTCATGTCCCTTCACGATGTGACTCCTTTCCCCATTTAGTCCTGCACTGAATCAATTTTACCAGAGCAAAGGTGCTGCTAATCTCATTGGTTGACCATAGTTTTGTCCCACCTCTTTTCCATCTAAAGAAAATTCCCATTTTCTCCACCTTAGCCCCACATGGTTTTATACTATAAAAGTCCTTGGAAGAGAGAGCAACCGGGGGACTACTTGCTCAGGTCCCCCTTCTGTCCAGCTCTTGGATAGGAGCTTTCTTTCCCTCAATAAATATATCCTGATCATAGCCTCTTTTTGTTCCTAAAATTCATTCCTCAGTTTTAGAGAACATGAACTCATCCAGGTCAGGTCAGGAGATCATTTTTCTCTATGTCATTTGGAAGTTCCCTGTATCATAAGCCTAAATAGCTGATAAGCTTTTACTCGCATTATTTTTAGATGTCACTATTGGTTTTGAGGCTTGTTTCAAAAATGAAACTTTTCTGTATGTTTGTCTGCACTTCATCATTTTTTACCTTGATCATCATCATTTTGAGCTGACTTGTCTTGAATTAGATATTTGAGACTAGCTAGAGATTGCAGAATGATTGTGTGATATTATAATTCATGCCTTGCTTACTAGCAATCATGTTACTACAGTTAGCTCCAGGGTTACACAATGGATGACTTCAATGAGAAGTGTACTGGGGTTCTCCTAACTATTTCAACAAAGGGACTTGACGTATGGGTAACTTGCTGCTAAAGTGTGGGAATAGCTTGACTCTAATTTTATACCA